GCATGAGAATACTTGCTTAAGTCATCCTCATCAATTTCATAGACAGAAGAAAAATAGGTCGCGAACATGTCTGGAATTCGATCTGTGTCAGATGCTGTGCTGCCATTGTGGAACATTGTACAAGGGTACGATGAGCAGCTTCTTCTTAGATTTTTTATATGGGTCCAAAAGTATTTCGGATTGTTCGTTATTTCAGCTTCTATCGAAGATATATATTTACTGTAACATTCCTTTATCATTTTGCTGCAGTCTTGTCTTAAATATTCAAATTCTATTTTGTCCAAAGAAAATTATACCTAGTCTATGTAATTCTTTTATGTTAGATCGCATTACCAAAGGGAAACTTTATTTCAGCTTAAGAATGGCTAGAAGAATTTCGACGTGGACCGTTAGGGCTGCGGTAGCATAATTGGTCAGTGCATTCGCCCGGATAGCGAAGGGTGCGGGTTCGAGTCCCGTCTGCTGCCTGGTCCGCGTGGATTTTTTTCTAGTTATATTTTCTTTAGATTTAAACATCAAGCAGTTACATGCTTAAAAAATAAAAATTACAACTATAATTGCAATTTCTTCTTTCAAATGTTTAATACTTGTAAACGTATTCATTTGACATTGTGGGTTACCTATAATGCGAAGAGATGGCGCTGCCTTGCAGCTTAAGAATGGCTAGAAGAATTTCGACGCGGTCCGTTAGGGCTGCGGTAGCATAATTGGTCAGTGCATTCGCCCGGATAGCGAAGGGTGCGGGTTCGAGTCCCGTCTGCTGCCTGGTCCGCGTGGAATTTTTTCTAGTTAAATTTTCTTTAAATCATAGCTTATTTATTACATATATATAGCTTATTGTTAATAGAAGAAATAGTTGAGAAGTGGAATTTTTTCTAGTTAAATTTTCTTTAAATCATAGCTTATTTATTATATATATATAGCTTATTGTTAATAGAAGAAATAGTTGAGAAGAAGCGCCATAATAATAAAACATATTCATAAAATATTTTTTCTAAATATCCTCCTATTGAAAACTTGCGTAGTACCTTTACTTTGCGAATTAGATGTCACTTAAGCGAAAATCACTCGGCCCGCCATACATTTTTTGTCAAGCAAACATTAAATCACACACCAAATAGTAGGGCGTTAGCGCCATTGGTTCAAAAATTACCAAAACTTATATCCATTCAGCGTTGTGAATAAATATATATAAAAAATGAGTTGCTTAAGCGCCAAAAAAAGGAACTTTAATAACTCTTCACGCAACCCAAACAGATAGACGCAGCAAAAAATCTGATTAAATGATTTAGATTTTTCCTTTCCACTGACGAGATAATGTATAAATTCTTACTTTTGGCTTTGTGTTACTGGACTTAGGCAGCTGTCCCTACGCCGTCGAGGAAGCGACTAACTATCGGCTATTTACTCGCTCCAAAAACATACAATAGACATATATTCTCGCTTGGTCGTCAAAACGCGTGTGCGTGCATATTTACTCAGTATTGTAACCGCAAGTGACGCGAGTAATCGCCCGTTGCACTCGCAGCTAAAAAATAGTGCGATAAAACTATCGGAACTACCCATTTGCTTCCCGCTGCTCGCAAACTCGTTTATAACTCTACTCGCTTCTCGTTCATTGTCGACGGTGGAACACTTGTTCCGCCCATCTTCAGGCACTTGCCTATGGTTTGGAAAAGAAACCTTATGTGGAAAGGAAACTCGATGAGTGGTTTACCTATGTATAGGTAATTATAATAACAACATTTAACAACAAAACTATTTTTAATATTCTATGGAGGTGCTGTGAGCGTACTCATGTACAAGAAATAGTCAAGTCAAAAAACGGGGAAAACCACATGAATTTTATGTTTAATTCGATCATTACAATACATTAAGTAACATATACATTAATTCCACGTACATCGTCAAATCTTTTACCATGTTAACAGAAAAAGAAACTTACTTACTTAACTCATTTAGAATCACACTCAAGTGTCAATCACAATCAAGTACTGTACTCCTAGCACGAACCATTATCGAATTCGAATAGTTTGCAAACAGAAATGTCAATGTCAAATTTTGTATGGAAACTTGAACAGCAGCGGCACAAAGTACGTAAGGAGAACTAAAAATCAGTACACATTTGACAATAACAATTCGGACTCGCAAACGATACGAATTCGATATTGGTTCGTGCTAGGGGTACTGATCCACTTGCCCTATAATTCGCATATAAAAATGTCAAAACAGTCAAACAAACAGTTTTTCTTGCTAATATTAAGCGACATCTGTGCGGTGACTGTAATTTGTTGGAATGAATTTAATTGGAGATGTAGTAAATTAACCCCATTAAGCATTGTTGTAGGTACAAATCCACTAGTATAGTATAGTACAAAGAGACTCCTGCAACTTGCTTTTTCCTTATGTTATATTAAATGCACAATGACCCTCATATTTATATAATCATATAATTTATTATTTTTATTTATATGTATTTATATATAAATACCTAATTATGTTTTTATTAAAGTATGTGTTTGTGTGTTTACATGTATTTTTATGTTAAAGTTAAATTGGTTTTCCTTGAGCACATAGGTACATATTCAGATGGATTCGATGTTACAAAATGGATGATCTTAATTGGCCTCCAAAATTTTAAAAATATTTTTTCATGTAGAAATATATCGAGCTGTGATTGTCTTTACAATAAATAAATAAAACAGACAAAATTTCCTTCAAAGAGACTGCTTAATTGCACTTAGGATCTTATAATAATCAAAGATATTTGAAATTTGACCAAAGCAATAGATCATGTTATAGATAACATTGGAATAGGAGTTTGAATTTTGAAATCAATGTTAAAATCGTAAATGTAACATAAACTCTTCTTTCGATTTCTTGACATTATAAAAAAACGTTGTAAGCTAATAGGGGAATTCTTAATCCATGGTCAAAACTTCAAATAATTTAAGGTTAAATTTTATGTCACAGGAAAGCGGCAAAATCTGTCACGACAAATGTGATTGTTCAGAAAATAACAAGTTTGTTTCCAGGGATACGTACATTTAAAAAAAATCTATCTTACTGTTTTGATATAATTGTATCAAAAAAGCTTATGGTTAATCAGGAATCAAACTGACTGATCGTACTAATAGTAAAGTTACACAAAACTGTATTTTTTTTCAACTGACAGATAAATGGTACATAAGGACTACTTACTCATACAAACAGCTGACACCTGATGATGTTACACATCTAGGATCCGTTATGGGCCATATTTTAATCAAAAGATGAACAAAATATTCAAATATTTTGTGGGCGGAGAAAACTAGTTAGATGATGACGCGTAATCTAACTCGTGACTGCGATAAACTAATCATTATAATTTATTATAATGAAGCTTAAGCAGGTGTTAGGTTCATCGTATCATTGAATTATAAATCTTCTTTATTGGGTATGGCTAAAATTCGAAAATGTTCTTATCGCAGAGCAAAAAAATAACAAAAATATATATAGGTACACACTCTGGTCCAATATTTAAGGAAAATATATTGATACCTGAGTGTGTGTGTGTTTTTGTTCTCAATACTTTGTTAACGATACCGACAGAAATACGATACCTTTAATAAAATTAATCGATAAGTACTATTGATCGTGTTGAATTGCTAGGCGAGCTAGCCCAACAATACAAAATATATCGAGTCTTTAACTCGTTCTAAGGTATTAGGGAATGAAGAACCGGTGCAAAAATAGAGTCCCGGGATTTCCGGTACCACGTGATAAAGGAACCGGGACTCCCGGAACTTCCGGGATTTTCGATACTCCTCCCAAATCCTGCCCTTGGGTCAGGTTGAGATAAGGACGTTACCCACTAAAAACCCCAACATTGCTTCTTCGCCTGCCGGAAAGGGTTTCGTGGGATCCGGAGACTGCACTTTACACACTGCAGGAGTTTCTCCTGTTCCTTATGGTCAGGGGATGCCCGGAAGCGTAGGCATCCCAACTCGACGGGTGAGACTGCGCAATGCGGATGGTAGACCTTCCTGTCTGCCACCCGTTAATCTCAGTAGGGAGGACAGGACAACTATGTTACGTGCGTTTGGTGTGTAGCCTTTAGAGATGATGGAATTGTAAAGCTTTTGGAGTACTTTGAGTATCGAATTTACCTAACGTTGCTTACAACAGATACTTGCTTAGATTATAGCTGCCCATAGTAACTCTCAACCACACCCTGGATTTCAGTTTTAAATGGAGCACTTATTTTTTTTATCAGTCTGCATTTCTTCAAAACTCAAGCACATCCAAACGTAAATTCACAGTTGCAAATGCACACAACAAATCCACAGTTGCAAATTGATGATAGTAGTAAGACATACCAGGTCCTGCCACTCGTCCCTTTTTTCATCTCTCTTCGTTTACGGCCTGGCAAACACGAACTGCATGTGAATCGAGAACCGCTAGCGCACGTGTTTATTAAATAGAGATAGTAAAATTATAGGTTTTTACTTAGCCCCAAAAGTAAAAAAAGTACCGGGACGAGGTATTGAGTCCCGGGATTTTCGGAATCGGGATTTCCCGGGACCATTCCCTAATATGTATATTCACTTCTTTGTTATGTCTTATGACTATTAGAGTTAATTAAATGTCGCTTACTGCCGCATTCAGAGAAGTCAATTAACTTTAAAGTTTGACTTATGTAGATCCTGTGTAAAGAAAGTGTCTTTGTCAACTCTCGAAAACTATAAAAAGGGACAACACGTGACTTCGTTAAGAATTAAATTAATTTGAAGTTTCTGTCGCTGGTAAGTTAAGTTTGCATCGTAGAAAGGGATATAACAAAGTATATTTTCACTTTATATAAGAAAAAAAAAAATTAATAAATATTTCCAACACTCACACCAATTAGCCTAGCCCCAAAGTAAGCACTATAAGGCTTGTGTTATGGGGATACTAGGGTAACGGATAGAATACATATACCGTACATATATAAGTATATTTATATAGAAATGCATATTAAACATCCATGACTGGAGTACAAATGCTCGTATTCATCACACAAACATCTGCCCCCACCGAGATTCGAACCCGTGACCTCTCAAGTCGGCGACACCATGAAACCTGGCGTACCTCGGCCACGGAGGTCGTCATAAAAAAATCATTCTTACGCTTTAATAAGACCTATTTATCAAAATTATAAATTTCAAACAATGCATAATACTAAGTAAAAAAAAATCTGCAACTATTTGAATAAATCTTTTTAAATAACTCAAAAATCAATATTTTCGTCATAAAGATAACAATGCGAGAATTCGTAAAACAGGACCCATTAACTTACAACTGAGATGCCAAAACATACTCATTATGTTTTAATACGCCAAAACTTGTTATGATAATTATTTTGTGAAGATATCGCACTGTTTGCATACATTAACTGTGCTGATGTTCGATTACTATGATCGTTGGCGGTATATCGAATTAAGTTACATTCATGTTCAAGTACATTGCATAATAACACGCATTACGAGATACCTCATTAAGAAAATTTAATATTTTATTTGCTTCGGACGAAAATGACATTAGCGTTTTGTTTCGAAATGTGTTTGAGACTTTTGTTCTGTGTGTTAATAGTGGGTGTGTTTCTATTGTGATTTTTAGCCTTTTAAATTGTTTTTTTATTTTTAATTTCGATTGTGTTAAATCTCATTTTTATTTTCAGTGGATTCGGTTAAACAGGGTGATAATTTGAATAACAATAAATTGACTAGAGTGAAAAGGGTAAGTTTTGCTTCACTTTACTTAATAGTATTTTTTTTTAACAATTAACAATAACGATAGGGATGATGACTATTTTTTTTTATCAGGTAGATTACCAACAAGTATTGGACACGATTTTTTTCTTTTTTGACATAATATAAACATTGCAGAGATATATTGATTTGAAAAGTCGCATAACGTCACGTTTTGGTACAATTTTCACATAAAAGTGTCACGAGCCCCTACTCCCAAATTTTGACGCGTTTGTCATTTTTTGGATGATTGCCCAAAGAAAAAATACGTGTCCATTATTTTTTGATCATGTAACCGACGGACTAAATAGAATTTCGTTTATTGTACCCCGTCATCACCCCTATTGTTCTTAGTAATGTAAAATTTGTTTTTACGCGTTACGTAGCAAAAGTACTGCTGACGAAGCTGAGAACATTAGGAATGAAATAAAAAAGGTTTTATCTTATCCAAAACTTTGTTTATTGTTTTAAACACTGATAACGGGAATAAACCAAACGAAATTACATTTAGTTCGTGACATTGTCAAAAAATATTGTTTTTTTTTTGCTGTGGTCAATCGACCAGAAATGTTAAACATAAAGCGCGTCAAAGTTAGCTAGTTCTTTTTTTTTGGAGTGTGTATGCTGTTGGTCGCAGAGGACCTTTACAGCGTCACCAGGTTTGGGGACGGTGAGATCCTAAGGGGACCTCATGCCGAGAATTAATACTTTTACGAGTGCCTCCATAGGTATTATAGGCGGATTGCATCTTCCCACGGGGGAAGTCTCCTCTCCGTCTGGAGCCTCTAGACCACTCAAACCTGAGGGGTTCGGCTCAACTAGAGAGCGTCTCTGAGACTCGGACCTCGGCTCTAGTTAGCCGTTGTCGTGGGGGGCGGAGAAAAACTCCCAGGTTTTTTTACCTGTCGTGTGTAGACCGGGTCTTCGTACTCTTATCCTATGGGTGCAGTGTCTGCCAAATGCTAAGCTAGTGTGCAAGTATGCAAGCCGTGCGGGAGAAGTCGGAGGCGCGTTGGCGTAAGTGTTTTAGTCGTCGGGGTACTCTAAGACGTGCCTAAGCCGACGGAATCGGAGGGCAGTTTGCTAGTGGAGGATCGTGACGTCACTTCTAAGTAAAAAAAATATCAATACGTGACATCATGCGAATTTTGTAATCAATAATTTGTAATCGATATTTTGTTCCATTCGGTGTCCAGACACTTGGTCCGTGGGGTCCTAGCGCTATGAGGTTTTTTAAGGAAATATCAAAAAGATTAGTCGACATCATTGGAGACCGAAGAGCTGGCAGCTACCCCGGACAACGAATTAGTCTAGCTATTCAAAGGGGGAACGCTGCCAGTATCTTCGGAACCTTGCCTAAAGGGACTGCTTTTAGTAATATATTTTAGTTATTATATTATATTTTTTAAGGTTTTTAGTTCAAAGTTCATTGTTCCTGTATATATAAATATCTATGTAATATTTTCATTATGATTAATATACGTACAAAGAAATTGTTGGGTTTTTGACAGTCGATTGGTTCTAAGGCCCGTATTATAAAAAGATTCTCAGTAATGAATCTTGTCTTGAGCATAGTCAGAAAAGGATAATGCTACATTTAGCACATAGTGACATCCCTTTCTAACTGTAAGTAAAGATCAACACTTAGTTGTCATTCTGTAATACGAACCTTAGTTTTTGCATGATCTAACTAAGAAGTGATTTGATAAACATTTAAGTTTCTGCTTCCTGTATTCCAAGGTGAAGGCCTGTGGTTAGCAGTGCAAAAATTATTAAGATGTTTATGATAAATTATAATAAGAGTTGTATAAATTACATATTACTAACAAACTGACGACCTCCGTGGCCGAGTGGTTTATACGCCGGGTTTCATGGTGTCGCCGACTCGAGAGGTCCCGGGTTCGAATCCCGGTGGGGGCAGATGTTTGTGTGATGAATACGAGCATTTGTACTCCAGTCGTGGATATTTAATATGTGCCTTATTATAAATATACTTATATATGTACAGTATATGTATTCTATCCGTTACCCTAGCAACCCATAACACAAGCCTTACAGTGCTTACTTTGGGGCTAGGCTAATTGGTGTTTAAAAAAAACACTTGAAGGTCGCTTTCCTTACCCACCCGGCACCCAACCAGCACCACCTCAACTCCTGCGATTGATATTCTTTGTATGGATTGCTATGGAAATGAGCTCACTACACCAACTCCGTTACGATGTTAGCTGGTTGACAGCGTGGCGTCCACAAGCGGACGGGGTGCGCCGAGGTTGTGCTGGTTGGGTACCGGGTGGCTATGATGAGCTAAGACCCTAAGTGAATAAGTTCAATATTCAACAATGAAACTCATAGTTATATTTCTTTTTTAAGCATGTAACTGCATGATGCTTAAATCTAAAGAAAATATAACTAGAAAAATATCCACGCGGACAAGGCAGCATACGGGACTCGAACCCGCACCCTTCGCTATCCGGGCGAATGCACTGATCAATTATGCTACCGCGGCCCTGATGGCCGCGTTGAAATTATTCTAGCCATTTTTAAACTGCAATGCAGGTAACCCACAATGTCAAATAAATACTTTTACAAGTATTAAACTTTTGAAAGAAGAGATAGCAATTATAGTTATAATTTTTATTATTTAAGCATGTAACTGCTGATGTTTAAATCTAAAGAAAATATAACTAGAAAAAAATTCCCGCCGACCAGGCAGCATACGGGACTCGAACCCGCACCCTTCGCTATTCGGACGAATGCACTGACAAATAAAAATCATCTCCTTCAGTTCCACATAAGATAGCTCAATGTTACGTTCAATTGAAAGGCCAGCTATATCCTTTCTATCCTTAGATTTAATATTTTTGTTAACAAAAATCAATGAGCGGCCGTGTATGGCTGTCTTATGAACATAAGCACTCAACAATTGAAATTTGTTTATGTGATAAGACATTTCACAAGGCTTGAGTGTTCCGTTAAACATATACATAATGTGTATGTCTACGTTGAGTCCGTGACAAGTCCTATAGTCTATTTGGCGTACACTTTGGCGTGAGACAAAATGTAAACAAAGAATTTGAGGTTCTAAAACTTTTATAATGTCAGAAAGTATCCACTAGTCAATGATTACGTATAATTGATGTTACCGTTAATTTGTTAACAACTTTAAACGTAACAGAAAAAAATAACAATAAACTCAACAAATAAAATAAGGAAATAACAAGAATTTAACAAATATGATAGAATATGCACGCTCGCGTCAATAGGTTGATCGGGAGAGTAAAGATGGCTAACGTAAACCAACCGATTACAAAACACAGTACTTCAACGTAAAATTCTTATTTCATGTCTACTCTTAAATTTTGTCGTATTATAATACGTCTTAAGTTTGGTAATGATTGTGTTTTTAGGTCTTTTTCCGTGTCAACTTAAGTTGTTAAAATACTTTTATTAGCAAAATAAAAATATACGAATTTATGATGAGTATGTACGTTAAATATGTGTGAAATATTTTATTTTTTTATTCATATGTATGTACCAGCTTTTAAAATAATTAATTTAATGCTCCCCTGCATTTCCTATTTATTCTTTACTTTTGTTAAACGTGACCTTAAAAAGTATTCTTTTTATAGTTTCTTTATATTTTGTCTCAAGCCAATGTGAATAGACTTACATTTTTTCATGATTCAGGGATTTTGTCCGCGGAGGAAAGAAGTCCCTCTTCTGCGCAGCCTATTACATATTGGATCATTTTGAATTTCTTTAAAAAGGTTAGCTTCATCCTCATCAGCCTATTAATGTCCCCACTGCTGGTTATTAAAAGAGGTCAGCTTAAGTTAATGTATTATTGCTATTATGTTAATCGTTCTTAATACTTGTTTTTCACAATTAATTATTTCTACACAAAATATTGATCAACGAACTATGTAGGTATAGAAACCAGTATTGAACGTAAAATTTTAACCCAGTTTGAAAGAGGAAAAAACATAAAGAATTTGACATGTTTAATATTTACCTTGTGTATTTTTTATGTAAATGTATTTACATCTCAAAAAGCGACGTTATTATTTGAATACCACATGAGATGAATATGTAGACGGGTTACTATTTGAAGATGTACTAATATTTGAATTATTATTACTGAAATTTAATGTACAATTTTTATTTTCAATTTTGATAAGAAAAGCTTAATTAAATAATGTGATTAGACATTCATACAAATCTCAATTATAAACAAAGTATATCAAAAAAAAGCCTCAATTTATGCAAATGTTTTAATAAACTTAGATACGTATTCAAAAGATAATATACTGACATAGTGATCTATCAACGCACAGCTCAAACCACTGTACGGATCGGGCTGAAATTTGGCATGCGGGTAGATGTTATGACGTAGGCATCCGCTAAGAAAGTATTTTGATCAATTCTACCCCCAAGGGGATAAAATACCGAAGCGAAGCGAGGGCGGGCCACTAGTAAGAATATAAATAACCATTATTATCATTAAAATAATATTTTTTATTACTCAATAATTAGCTTGGTTCCAAAGTAAGCACTGTAAGGAATGTGTTATATGATAACAATGTGAATATAAACATCCATTACTCAGGAGTAAATGCTCATATTAATCACACAAAAATTTGCCCCACCGGGATTCGAATCCCGGACCTCTGAATAGGCGACGCCCGGCGTAAATACCATTCACATCGTGGAGGTGGCCATTATTTGTCTTCGTTGTGTTGCGTTTCCACGCTCAGAACAGTTCCCCTAGCACGAACCAATATCGAATTCGTATCGTTTGCGAGTCCGTAATGACATTGACAAATGTGTACTGATTTTTAGTTCTCGTTACGTACTTTGTGCGGCTGCTGTTCAAGTTTCCATACAAAATTTGACAATGACATTTCATACTTGCAAACTATTTGATTTCGATATTGGTTCGTAGAGTCTGTGCGGAAAGAGAATGGGCGTGGCGAAAAACGGAACTAACATTAAGATTTTTATTTGGCAATAACCCAGTAATCTGTAAAACGTCAAAGTTTTGTATTGATACGGATTTGTTTGTTGTTGTGATTTCTTGAGATTTTTTGTATTTAATCATGTCTAAAAGGGATAAAACCTTACAAATACGGTAGAAAAGCACTACAGCGCCCTCCGATCTAAATCCCATTCTCTTTCCGCACAGACTATACGAGCAAACATTTGCTCCAACGAGTTCGTACAATTATGTTTGACTGGACTAAAATAATGATTCCTCGAACTTACTGTTCGAGGAATCATTAGTAATGTTTGTTTAACAAGTTTTTCTAAAAGTGAAAAAATCAAAAAAATATTTACAGAAATAACATAAAATGTATCACTTTACACTTGTTATTCTGAAGTCACTTCAGTGTGGTGTGATATGATTTAAGTTCCATTATATCACTATATTCTGATACATCTGATATACGAGGAGCTCAATGGCGCAAGTTGTTAATGCGTTTGGCTGCGATCGTTGAAGTTAAGCAACTTTCGCAGTGGTCGGTAATTGGATGGGTGACCAAAAATGTACTATTTCGAGCTCCTCAATGCTTCGGAAGGCACGATAAGCCGTTGGTCCCGACTGCATCTGCAGTCGTTAGCACCCACCAATCCGCACTGGGCCCGCGTGGTGGGTCACGGCCCAAACTCTCTATTCCATCTATAGAGAAGGCCTGTGCCCCAGCAGTGGGGACATTAATAGGCTGATGATGATGATGATGATTCTGATACAAAGTTTCGTGCTGGGTGATTTAACTGGGTTAATTATTTAATTTAAAAGAAGTTTACATACATTATTTCTAAAACTTGTTTACAACCTGATTATTTCTAATCTTTCACCAAAAAAAAATCACCGTGTTATCTCCATCAGACACGTAGCAGGTTTTTTTACTTCAAATGCGATTTCCCAAAAATCGTTATTTTCGACTTAGATCACTTTTCACTGAACGTACAGAACTTATAAAATGTAAGTTCATAAACAAGATAATATCATAACTTATTATATTCTGAATCCCTATAATTATTATTCAGTTTTTTACGCTTCATAGTTTTTGTTCATCTCGGCCGATCCAAGTCAATACTTAAACGGCGTTAAGAAAAAAAAAGCGGCTAAGTGCGAATCCGACTCGCCCATGAAGGGTTCCGTAGCAGCAAGTACCATAATATAAAAGTTCTTGTAGTTCGTTGTAACATTGATAGATGTTTTAATATAGTGTATATTTTTAAATTAAGTTATTGATTGTTTTTTTAAGCATTTAACTGCTAGATGTTTAAATGTAAAGAAAAGTTTTACTAGAAAATTCTGCTTAAGGCTAGGAAAATTTCGACGCGGCCATCAGTTCTGTGGTAGCATAATTGAGTGCATTCGCCCGGATTGCGAAGGGTGCGGGTTCGAGTCCCGTCCGCTGCCTGGTCTGCGTGGGTTTTTTAAGTTATTGATGTTTTTTTTTTTGAGTTGATAGAATGAAAGGTAAATTGCGGTTTACGATTTATGACGTATTAAAAGAAACAATTTACTAGATCTCGTTCAAACCAATTTCCGGTGGAAGTTTGCATGGTAATGTACATCATATATTTTTTTTTGGTTTTACATACGGACGGACAGACAGACAGACATGATGAATCCACAAGTATTCCGTTTTTAGCCATTTGGCTACGGATCCCTAAAAAGGCACACTGTAATAATTCTTTAATTTTGTAGGACCAATAAAAACACCAAGTGGGTACCAGCGGTTTTTTGTTTCTTTATTAATCTTGATATAATATTTAAATCACATTAATTATTATGTGTTCGTACTTACAATTATAAAGTTACGATAAAAACATACGCAAAAAACCCTAAAAGTGTTTTAAGCTCTTTGTAAACTTTTTACGAGAAATCGCTTACTGGACTAGTAAAAGAAAAAATAAAATGTTTGGACGATTCAAAAGTGTTGTACTACACATCCAATTTGAGTATTAGGCGATTCTGAGTTCGAATAGGGTATTTGACAAGTTTTAGAAAACGATCTCACGTTACTGACTGATGTTTATGGAGTCCGTAAAAAGAGGATATTCATCATTCTGTTGTGTATTTCAGTAAAAATAACCAAATCAAAAACGCCATTTTCAAGTTGCCGCGGAAACATTTTTCTGGACAACATTGCGTCTTACGATACAATGTAATGTCACTTTCACCGGAAGTTTACTTGCGTGTGACATCATTTTAGGCTCCGCCAACCCCAAGCGTTTTGTGTTACGTGACAATAGATAAGAAAACTATTATCTTTTTCGTGGGTTTTTAGTAAAATTATGAATATTTTGTTTGTAAAAATAGTAAAAACCCCTGGCAACATTCATTCTAAACACAGATGCTAACAAATGGCACTTTATTTTTAATACTGTCAAATACCCTATTGGAGCGCCGGTCTGAAGAAGACGACAGTGGGTGAGGTTCCAGGGCCACGAGGTAGGGGATTGGGTCAGAGTAGGCAACGGCGCGAGTGATATTTATGGTAAAGCAAGTGCGTATATGTAGGCTATAATGGCTATGGTAGTAAAGCAAGTGTGTATTTGTAGGCTATGGTGGTTATGGTGATAAAGCAAGTGTGCATATGTAGGCTATAGTGGCTATGGTAGTAAAGCAAGTGTGTATTTGTAGGCTATGGTGGCTATGGTGATAAAGCAAGTGTGTATATGTAGTCTACGCATCAGGCGTGCCATATAATTGTTTGTCACCATTTTAACATAAAATGGTGACAAACAATTATATGGCACGCCAATTGCGAGTTGGACTCGCCCATGAAGCGTTCCGTAGCAGCAAGTAACATAATATAAAAGTTCTTGTAATTCGTTGTAACGTTGATACGTTTTAATAAAAGTGTGTTTATTTTAATTAAGTTATTGATAAGTTAATATTAGAATGGTACCCAAATGATGGGATTTACATCTAACGATATTAAATGGTTTTTTTTTATTTATTTGAGTTGATTGAATGAAAGGTAAATTGCGGTTTACGATTTATGACGTATTAAAAAAACTATTTACTAGATCTCGTTCAAACCAATTTTCGGTGGAAATTTGCATGATAATGTAAATCATATTTTTTTTGTTTTGTCGTTCCCTTATTTTATAAATAACAGGGGGGGGGGGTCTTAAAGTTTCAACAGTATATTACTTATAGTTTCGGAAAAAAGTAGCTGTGACATACGGACGGGCATACAGAGTGAATCCATGAGACATGACGAATCCATAAGGGTTTTTTGCCGTTTTTGTCATTTGGCTACGGAACCCTAGAAAGGACGAGTCCAGTATTTGTAGGAAACATTTGTTGAGTGACAATTGATGTTGCCGAAGAATTTGCCCGTGTCTTTAGAATGAAAAAAGTCCTTGGGAAATAGTTAAGGATGAAAAGAAGAGAGAAACCAACACAACCTTAATATTTTTCGGGAACACAACCTTAATTTTTTTTCTTACAAGTGTAATACAATAATACAATAAGTATTAAGCATCATCGACCCATTATTGTCGCAACGTTTTTTTCCTTAAGTTATAAAAAAAAATTGTGACAAAAATTTTCCTTGAGACGTAAATAAATAAGAAACTAGTTACTAAAAAACCATAAATATAAAACTGTGTTTGATATACTTAATGACTCACTTGTGAATATTTATTATTTTAGGAAAGATGGATTTGGGGTTACGCCGATGTCACTAGGACGGATGTAAGTAAAACGATAAAATTTATTAATAATAACTCTCTAGAATGAGGGCAATGTGATATGTGCCTACATATTAACTCTTCAATTCCCAGTGTGACTTGTAGGTGACGGAAGTTTGTTATTTTTTTTAATACAAGCAATGCATTTTTTTTTATTTTACCGCTACAGTAGTAACGCGAATGAGTGACATTGTTCATTCTTCTTTTCTGGCAGCACTAACCGAACGTCATCTCTCAAATTCGATTAGATGGCTTAATTGGCTTAGATGCAGCTTGCCAACAGCAGGACTTACACACTATCATAGAAAAACAAAATTTGGCATATCATTTGAATCTCTGAATGTCACTTTAATCGCTTATACAATAAAGTCCCAAGGAATATCCAAGAGTTAAGCATAAATAAATTCAAAGATAGTATAAAAAAAATGGTTGCCTGTAAAGTCGGTTTTACGGGCGAAGATTTTACGTGACAACGTCTTTTTCTCGGTAGAATATTTATTGATATGAATATAATTAAATTGCACAATAGGAACAAGGAATTGAATGAAAATAAGAATTGCACAAATTTTAACTATAGAAATATATTTTGTTTACTAAAACATTGTACATGTAAACTTAAACTTAACACGAGAGACTCATCGTAACGTTACCGAGCGTTACACTTTTTCATAAGTGACTCCCAGCCGCAACCTAATTTAAGACGTTGTCACGTCAAAAGCACTTATTAAAAAAGCTTATTACAAAGTGTCCGATTATATTACAGACAAAAATGCTTGGGTTTGAACTGTTCCAATCATTCCAACAGGTTTTCTATATTAAATAAATCATGATTGTATTGACGTTGCGTTGTAACAACATAATGATTTGTAAATGTTGTTACATTATGCTTTTAATGTTGTGGAGTTTTTTTCGCTCGTTTTTCTCCGCAGCTAAAAAATATGTCCAATAACGAGTGGTAGGGAAAAAAATGTTTAGACAATCCAAAAGTGTTGTACTATACATCCGATTTGAATAAAGATATATTGATTTCTGATTTCTGAAATAAGCGATGCCCTATAAGTCCTAGTTAATGCTAAACCAAAATCACTCAATTTCAGAGAGGAGTTCACGATGAGCCGATAAGCTTTGACAACAGGGTGCATGAAGAAACGAACCCTTGCTTTCCACTGGATTATCCTCCCACTCCGAACTTTAATGCCCCTGGAAGGAGAATAAGCCAAGTGAGTTAGTATCTCAGAATTTTAATATCCGTTACTATATTTATAAATATGATTAGGATATTAATGTTCCCACTTCTGAAGAACAGATCTATCCAGACCATAATTTACCAGTGAGCTCAATCCACTGAGGTTATTGGTGAAAGCTAACGACTGCAAATACTAAGGCCCGTATTATAGAAAGATCCTCAGTGATTGATCTAGTCTTGAGCGTAGTTAGAAAGGGATGTCGCTGTATATAGCACTTAGCGATATCCCTTTCTAACTGTATCAAGTAAAGATCAACACTTAGTTGTCATTCTGTAATTCGGACCTAAGACTCCTCTCGCTAGACGGCACGATCACGGCCAATGGCAGCTACGATCAAGTTCAGTTAATCTGATCGTTGCGACCACTGGTCGTGGTCTAAGCCATCTAGTGCGCGAGGTGCCTTAAAGGTTCCGACTTCCGTGCATCACCGTCGATCGCAGCCGCACGCGATCATTCGTTTTCGAATGACGCGCGAGGAGGATGCGGCAATAATTAGTGTATGAAAATGTATGGCACTGTTTTCGGAATCTGCGACGAACCCGTGTGGACTACGACAGACGTACGTTAGACATATTCAGCAATGAAAGTTATTTCTGGGTACCAATCACGTGTGACGTGTCAGAGTCACATCAAAAAATTCACAAAAGATTTTAAAAAACCCAGGTCCGCTTATATTTTTAGCAAACTTCAAAAAGAGGAAGTTCTCCGTTTGACTTGTATGTATGTATATCATGTATGTTTGTATCAGAAAAGATTTTTATAAAGAAAATTTTATTATCTACAGCTTTGGTAACTTTATTTTACAGAATGCTATGAATATATGTATACAATGAAAATAATATCAGAGGAAGCAGAAAGACAAAAAGAATGTAAGTATTCTTTAAGCACGATAGTTGCTTGAACAAGCAACTATTATTGGAAAAATCATTACATAATTACCACAAAAAACTTAGATATGCGGTCGACACCAGTTTTAAAAAATGGCATACTAAATTGGCCTAAACAAGGTTTGAAACCGTGTCTAACCTTTTTGTAGTAAGACCGTAAGCATTTAGCACAAGCAATTTATACATCCACTGCATTGTATAAAATGTAATGATTATCAATAAGAATTTTGTAATTGTTTACAGGTGAAAACTTACTCTTAGATATCATAGGAGGAAAAGATGCTAGTCCGAGGGAATTTCCTCATATGGTATGTTTTTTTTATTCTTTCACATTTTTCTTTACACAGTTATTATGACCTTAACCACATAACTAACAATCCATTGTATTTCCACTAAATCTAATGGAAAATCCCTAAATTACATTTATTTTTATCAATGTTTTTATACTTTTCATTGTTAGGCAGCTATTGGATGGAAGGCCACAGATGGTCAGTGGGCATTCAAATGTGGCGGTTCACTTATCAGCAGCAAGTTTGTGCTGACAGCAGCGCACTGCTCCAGGGCTTCGAACCGCGACGGGACCATAGCTGAAGAAGTCCCGCAGATCGTGAGACTCGGCACTAATAAAATCAATAGACCTGTAAGTTTTAAATTCAACTAATCAGGACTCTTCAGCTTCTCATTCCTTATCTTCCAAAACTTGTAAGACTAGGAAAAGGCATTATCACCAACACCAACCAATTAGCCTAGCCCCAAAGTAAGCACTGTAAGGCTTGTGTTATGGGATACTAGAGAAACCCTGATCTTTCTGTGTCTGTCAAAATTTTCACGTTTGTCCGGGTCCGCTTTTAGCGATAAGAACGCCATTTGTGACCTTCTTCTCTAATTTATATGTATTTTGTTTTGTAACTTGGATGTCATAATATAGAGTTATCTTATCTTATAAACATCCATGACTTAGGTAGAAATGCTCGTTTTCATCACACAAACATTTGCTCCACTCAAACCCAGGAGCTATGAGTAGGTGACACCTTGAAAACCGGAGTACATTCCACACGAAGGTCCTGAAAATCGATTCGGTCGATTAATTGAGGTTTCTTGAAGTTTTGTCGTTTTGATTAAGCAACCTTACATTATCGATATGCTTTTTTTGGAATTCACAGGAATCACACAAAGATGCGACGATTTTAAGAATTATAACCCATCCTAACTACACTCCTCCGCGGAAGTACTTCGATATAGCACTCATCCAACTGGAGAGAGGTGTGCAGTTCACAGAATCTATTCAACCCGCATGCTTGTACATGGGTCCTGACGATGGCCTCGTCGGTCAAAAAGCAACACTCAGTGGATGGGGAGTTCTAGATTTAGGTAATTTAAATACTTACTACATCTTCTTACCAGACCTACTTAACCCTACTAACATAAGGAATATCTCTGCATCATACCCGACCATTTAACATCAGATGCCAGCTGCTCAAGATGGCGGCAAATGAAAAAAATAAGTCAAGTAAAAAAGAGCACAGATATTCCTTGAGTAATACTATGCCCCTTGTTACACTGTTTTCCACTTGACTCTACTTAACCCGCAAAATTTTGCGTCCTAATTTTTGGCACTAAATGTGTGGTAGTACTCTCTTTCATCTTCATATACAAATTTATGTTCCCCAACAACTCCTTTGATGTGTGTCAGAAACCGTCAGTCAAGCAAGACGGATAATTTGTTTCGATAGAACTAAGTGAAACATCGTTACTTTTAGCGCAATAAGTAGGTAGTCAAAGCTTGAGAACTAGCACCTCTATTGCATTTGCGGACCGAAATCACCTCAGTCTGTGAGATTATTAGTAGCAGCTAGCAGTCTCACTGTCCGAGATGTTTGAGGATATGCCATATTAATCGTTGATCAAAAACACAGATTTATTAAAATCTGCTTCTCAGTCTGTGAGATTATTAGTAGCAGCTAGCAGTCTCACTATCCGAGATGTTTGAAGATAAGCCATACTTAATCGATGAATAAAAACACAGATTTATTAAAATCTGCTTCTGCTACAGCAACTAGTATTACAGAACTGAATCTTATTACAGTAAGTACGACGTATGTTCGACATATGTTTGAAAGTGTAAATTTAACATTTACGTTTCGCATTCGTATTTTTATATTCATTTATATTTCGTACTGTTAGCTGATTTTCGCATACACTAGTGATAATTAAGATTACAATTCCTAAACAAATCTGCTGTGGACCTCAAAACATTATATTAGTTTGATAAAATTAGCAGTTTATGACATCGGTAAGTCCTTCCCACGTCCTTCTAATCCTTCTTACCATTTTCAGAGAAACGGAATATATCATTTAGTAAACGAAAAATTATTGATATTTTATTTCAATAAAAAAGTAGGTAGCAGAAAAGTAACGTTTTGAGTGGGGTAACTCGAAGGTAACGCCACAGAGCCAAAAGGTTTCGGAAAATGTTAAAATGCAACGTTCTAGCAACGCTGATCACAAGTATTAGATGGTTTTGTACTTAATGTTTAATGCTTTCTGTGGTTTACAATATTTGGTTTACTTTTGTGGTCACTATTTCTTGTACAATAATTAAGAAAAGACCTACCCCTCCAGCTCTTACATCATGGTCTCCGAAGCTTCGGTGCTAATTTATCGTCATCTTCAGGGCGAGTTTGTAAATTTAAATCTCACTTCCGAATTCAATAGATCCCATTTTAGAAATTAGTTTAATCTGCATTATGTCACTATATGGCAAAATGTTGGTAATAGTAATTAATGTTTATCATCGCAACGTTAGGAATCTGGATTGTCAACAAAAACAAAGTGAGTTACCTATAGACCTACTTAGGTATTTTGTAATATCTCACTTTTGATTTTATTAATGCAAATGTTTGACAAATATCAAGTCTTTTACAGGGTGCTTTTACAGTTGCTTCTCCCACACCTGCGCGACGCTACGCTTGTACTAAAATACGCTAAAGTTAGGATCAAAATTTAAATTAGTTCCATCGTAAGTACGCTTGTTCAGCTCCACATACAAATACACACATCAAAAGTGTCTAGGGATCAACATATATTTTTGCAATAACTTTTCTCCTGATTGATATTAATTAAAATTTTCTTTAAGGATTCATCAAATAAAGTGTTTTCGTTTGTCACAGTAACGATAAACCAAGTCACCTTTGCATTAATAAAGAAATTTGCCATTTTCCTAATAAAGGGATTTTTGACATTTGAACCACTAACACAAAAGTTCGAAAAAAAGACTGAAATAACAGTTTTCTCTAAAATTTTATTGGGTAACTTAAACAATTAATAATCCGTATTTCTACCGCGAACACTAACAACACAAGAACATCGGTTTGGCATACTCAAAATGAGTTCATCCAAATCACGCTGTGGAATAGCCGCCCATGTTCGTTGCAACAACAAAAAAAGGTCTTCTTGCGACTGGATACCCTCCATATTCGGCAGAGCTCTTCTCTGTAGCATATCCCATGCATGCTCAATCGGGTTCAAGTCTGGCGACTGAGCAGGCCAGGGCAGGACATTGATGTTAGCTGCGGCGAGAGTCTGTCTTACAACTCTTGCGGTGTGCGGTCGTGCATTATCATGCATTAACTGAAATAAGGGACCGATTTGCACTTGTAGAGGAACGATGACGTCTGATACAATCGTCTCAGCATAAATTTGAGCGTTGAGGTTGCCTCTGATCCAAATCAACTCAGTTCTTCCGCCGATCCAAATACCCGCCCATACCATGATGGTTCCACCACTATAAGGATGGACTTCCTGGCAGGATTTTAATCGCTGTTGGCGTCCAGGGGTTCTCCAGTGTCGTATACGTCTTGTATCCGGTCTCATACCAAAACGAGACTCATCAGAAAAGCACACGAAACGCCATTGTTCTTCTGCCCAATTTCTGTGTTCAAGAGCCCATTGATATCGAATTCTACGATTGTGCATTGCTATAGGTGGTACCCGTAGCGGTCTTCGGGAATGAAGGTTCACTTCATGCAAGCGGTTTCTGACTGTTTGGTCGCTAATTAAGTTCCCTGAAGAGTGATGAAGCCTCACGGCTAACATCATGGCGGTTATTGTTGGAGCTCTTCGAGTTAAGATTTGAATGTATCGGTCTTGTCTCCGTGTGGTGCAGCGATACCGTCCTCCATGGCGCTCAGTCACGGTACCAGTGCTTCGGTATCGTGTCCAAAGTCGACTGATAACACTCTGACTTGTATTCAGAGCTAAAGCCACAGTACGTTGCTGGGAACCAGCTTCTATCATTCCCACGGCTCCGAGCATTTCTTCCCTGCTTAAATGACGTCGCCGCTCCATAATAACGTTGGTTTTAATCAGTAGTAGGGAAACAGTAGCACTAATAATGTCTTCAATGCGTTGTATGCTTTTATAGGGAAAATATTGACAGCTGATTTTCATCTTTTACTCGAATTTGATTCACAGTTCCTGATTCAAATTATGAAATGCACCAAAAAGGATCCATATAAATTTATAAAATCATAAATTTATTACAAAGCCACATCTCAATCTCAAGAAATCCGCATAAAAATGCTTGATCCCTAGACACTTTTGATGTGTGTATATCGTCTCCCACAACGTCTTTTATTTGTGTCAAAATCGCCAGTCAAGCTATCATACAGCGTCTATAGACACGCGATCCGATAATTCATTACGTTTAAACCAAATTCAAAATTTGAACGCTAGTTTAAGCGTATTTAGTGCCAAGCGTCGTAGCGCAGGTGTGGGAGAAGCAGCTGTAGAAGCAGCCTGTAAAAGACTTGATATTTGTCAAACATTTGCATTAATACAATCAAAAGTGATATTTTATATTACATAATACCTAATAGGTAACAAACTTTGTTGTTGTAAACAATCCACATTACTAACGTTGCGATGATAAACATTAATTACTATTACCTGACCGCATAGATGCTGACAAAGTAAAATAATTAATTACTTTTAAATTAATCTTCTGTTTTCTCGTAATCGTTGATTAGTAACATAAAAGTTAAAAAAAATGTATCATAAATTGTGCGAAAATGTTTCCCTAAGTAAACTCAAAGATTCGAGGTTCTTTTTAAGTTTGATGAGATAATTAGGCTGTCAGCATCAAAATAAGGCATCATAAATTTAGCCCAAGTCTATTAAGATGTTTTAGAAAAGAATCAAAGGTTTATATTTTTAGGGTGTCGATTCTGGCATGATTCTCTTAACATAAAACAAATTTTGACATAATTTTGTATATACATTTATTAGGTTTAGAGAATCGTGCCAGAATCCACACAATTTGTGTATGATCCTGAGTTATTTATCTTCTATTATTTTAGATCGCCTTACGACTCCAACGCAACTGCAAGCAGCTGAAGTCGATATCCTAGACTCTGTGCTTTGTGATAGAATTTTCCGCAGATCCTGCAGTAGGCTATGGTGTGGAATGGAAAGGAATCAGATATGCGCTGGCAAACTTGAAGGAGGCGTCGATGCTTGCCAGGTAATTATATTGCAAGCCATGGCTATCCTTTACAAAATTATGTTCGCCGGTCCGGTGACTGCGATTGGCGCGAGTATTTGCTCGTTGTACTCGCCCACTTTTAATTTCCAGCAGTATTCGCTTCTCGTTTATCGTCGGTGGTGGCATTGGCATGGCACAAGTGCCTAATGGTAGCCATACACACTACGAGAAATCGTTACGATTAGACTGTACCGTCCGAACGGTACCGATAAATCGTAGCGTGTATGTTATAAAATTGCACAGTTTCCTATACGTACGCCACGTACGATAAACTGTTCCGTTCGAACTGTACAGTCTGATCGTAACGATTTCTCGTAGTGTGTATGGCTACCATTACATTATCATCGTGTGCTATTACAACATTTGAATAGAGAACATGCTTTCAAACTCGATACTGAAATATTTCGATTTCTTCTTACTGACTTGACTTGGAATACACCAGCTAAGATACAATTTTAACCAACATTCAAAAACAGAATATGTTTTCAGTTCATCCGAATACTTTTATTTCTTTTTTATGTATGTTTGCAGATTACGCAAAGACGGCTGGAGCGATTTTTGTTTTAAAGATCCCATTAGGTCCCACGGTTATGGCCAATATAATTATATATAATTATAATGACATGAATTGAATGTGAATTGCGTTTGTTTTGGACGCTCACTATCTATATTAGGCTGCGTGAAAAAAAAATTGAAAAGCCTGCAAACTCCTGCATAAGATCTGACGTGAAGAATAATAACATACTCTTACCACCATACCCCAGAAAATGTGTTTTATCAAATGAATGGTGTGTGTGTGTGTGTGAAATTAAAAGAAACAGGTACATTTTACTTTTATTACAGGGTGATTCGGGAGGTCCATTACAAATAAAGACTGCATTCCCGAATGGCAGAGGACAATTGTACAGGTTGTTGGGTGTGACGTCATTCGGCATAGGATGTGCACAACCAAACCTACCTGGCATTTACACGCGAGTCTCCAGTTTCATCGATTGGATAGAGGCCGTTGTGTGGAATTAAACCTAAACTATATTAATTAATATTACCTTTAATAATTATGACTTTTTTTATTAACAATAAAATTTATTGAGCGGGAAGAATTTTTATTATTTATTTTAATCTAGTTTTAATAGATAGGTATTTGAAATTTGATAGAAAGATGTGGCGGTCTTTATGGCACTTGTCTCACCACCGACGATGAACGAGAAGCGAGAGAAACTAGAAACGAGTTGGCAACCAACGAGAAGCTAGTATACAATTCAGATAGCTTTTTCGTAACGAGACGAGAACTAAATAATATACTTATACACATATATTTAAAAAAAACCCCTTAAATCCCACTGCAGCAACAGTTTTTGATCACATTTGAATGCACCTATTTTCCTATTGTTTTAATAAAAACAATAGGTAAGTGTAATTTAGATAATTTTAATAAAAACTTCAAAATTTTAAAAGCTTCCAATACCAAAAATATATGTTGAAAATATGTGTTTGTTGGGCTTTTAGCATAACAATATATAAGGTCGCTTTAGAGGACTGCTAAATGAAACAAGCAAAAAAAAATATTATTGTTGCTAGGTATACCTACATATCTCAATAATCTCGGCCCCCCGACTTAACGATGTCTAGTATTAAATTATTATTTAGCAGTTTATTTATTTGTAAAGACATAAAACAGATTACAATCATTAGATTATATATTAATTAATAATGGCCCAGGAACAAACTATTACCTACAAATATGTATCTCCAGTATGGTAATTATGAGGAACTTATATAATACGAAATACACACATATATATATATATATATATATACAGGGTGTAAAAAAACGTATAACGAAGTCGAAGGCCACGAATTTTCCACATCATGACGATCATCAAGATTCTTCTGGATCATACCTGAGAAATTTATGGTTATGGAGATAATGGAAGTCAAAGTCAAGTTCTTTTTCAAGATTTATACATTAATATGATCAAACGTTATTTAGAAACTTTTTTTTATCGACGCAGTTACACACACGCACACACATACACACAGGCACATTCTTTGCGTAGCGTCACAGTAGCGCGCCGCGCTATACATTGCGTAGAGGAAAAAAAAAGTATTTTTTTTAGCTTAAAAATGTAAGGGTGGGTGTAAAAAAACCTATGTTTTTGTCATAGGTTTTTTTACACCCTGTATATATATATTAAACAGATTACCATAGAGTATTATAATTGTTGTACAGCCAGCGATAATCTGAGTACAATGAGTTTCCATTATACTTACTTATTGTACGTACAATAATATGTACTAAAAAAAAAGGTATTTTTTTTCTATGATTGAACCATGTTGAAAAATTTCGTTATATAGGCGACACATACGAACAATTGGATTGTAGAAAGATAAAACTAGTTTTTACGGGTTAATGTACGAAACTTTATTTGCATGCTGACCTGAAAAGGCTGCGAAACGTCAATAAATAAATAAAGTTTCGTGCATTAACCCGTAAAAACTAGTTTTATTTAATGAGTGATGTGCGTGAAAACCTAAGAAACAAATATTGTAGAAAGATGTTTCGTTGCGGTAAACTTGTACAGAGAATGAATTAGGATTCCGTGTCCTGTATGTTATGTTAAAATCTATTGAGGGTAGTAAGATGGGAGAATTATATATGAATGGACTATCTTGTAGAGATTAATCAAATCGCTCTACTTTCGTCGGTTTTCTAGAGTTATAATTTTGTAATATGTTAATCTGGTGCTGTAACACATTAGTTTCCGAGAGTGTCCCTGACGGTAAAATAGATATCGTAGGAATTTAAGTTATGAATAAAGTTAACAGGTCAAAAAACATGTTTTACTTTTTTTTTTTTATAAATGCGCTGATGATCTTCAAAATGCTCAAGACATTTCTTCATAAATTATAGCTAAGGACCATGTCGATTATGACAGCTTTCAAATAAAAAAGCCACATCCAAATCGGTGCATTCGCTTAGGACATACAATGCCACAAGCAGACCTCACAGGTACACAGACACGTTAAACTTATAACAACCCTCCTTTTCATCGGAAGTAAAAGAAAATAACTGTTTTCACTTGTTTATTTCGATTATTATTTTACACATATCAATACTAAACTAAGGACAATGAGTGTTTATTTCATCCGGCCAAATGTTCTTTTCTAACCAGCACAGATATTGGTTCACCTTTGTGTAAATACCCGGTAGTTTGGCACAACCGAAGCCAAAACTTGTGATACCCACAACGTAATGTACTGTGACGCTATCATTGTGAGGGAACGGCCGCCATACTTGAAGAGCACCTCCGGAATCACCCTGAAAAAAATAATATGTAAGGGCTTCTATTTCAATAAAAAAAAACAGTACTGGTAACCTAACCTAACCTTTATGTGACCAGCTGTTGTTTTTGCCAGCAGGAAAAATTTAAATAATTCTCTTAAAACTGTGTTTTTTTTTCATACGTAAATACCTACAATATCCAGAGAAAACCGTCACTACAAAATACCCAACTTGTCCCAGCCAGCAGAGCTGGGAACGTACCAGCGCCTTTCGCTATCTGGGCAAATGCGCTGACCAATATGTTACCACAGCTTATAAATCCTCTTCCCCTTGGACCGCGATAGCGTGTGGACGTACCTTCCGTGCCAAATAATTACAAAACTTTTAAATAAATAATTTAAAACCAGTTAAATTCTGTGTAAAAAATTGACGCAGTACCAGCCGTTGCAGAGGATTAACAACATCAACAACCGCGCGGTAAGCTCCGCCTTCGTTACTACTGGCCCCACCCATCACTGCAGCCTAACGCCTATCTAAATTACAGTAGCAATATCACTGGCCCTAGAAATAGCTACTACGAAGTAAAGGCGTATTATCATGTTGCGTTCACCAAGTAAAGCATAAAAATCATAAATCTAGAAAATCAATGTAAAGACAACTACTTATTCATATCTTCGCTAGAAGACAAAGTTGAAGATCTGCAATGTAACATGAAAAAAAAATTTAGAAATCCGTAACTTACCTTGTGAGGATAAAGAGTCTAATACTGCTTTGATCCAGATGATGATTAACCTAACTAGTTCACTCAACTATATCCTTCAACCAAGTGATATACTTCATATACACCGTGTTTCTGGTATGAAAGGGACAACGAGACCAGTAATCTTGGAGCTCAATTCTATAACAACTAAACACGCATACCTCACCTGCGTAAGAGATTACAATAAATCGAATCAGACGCAAAAACTAAATTCCTCCCACTTTGAAATAAGTGGAACTCCCAGTCCAGTATACATTCAAGAAGACTTGACACTTACCTCTATTAATAAAACAAAAGCTATATAAATTCTGTTGGCTTGCCCAACGAAAAGTACTTTTAAGAAAAGCTGAAGAACAACCAGCGATTCTAATCAGAAACGAAGCCTATATTGAAAAGCTGCAACAAGAATAACTAGTTTATGTAACTATTAGATTATGTCTCATTCAACTTTATTTTCTATTTTTTTGCTTTGTTAGAACATTTTTGCATGGTAAAACTAAACTACTCATTATAAATATATACCATTAGAAACTACTTCCAACTTGGACTCATCGTCTGATACTGCTACAGCTCTGTTACAAAAATATGTACCTACTTGTGGTTTATTATTTAATTTCAAGCACGTTAGTTCTTTTAAAATAATTAAAGTTTTCCATTCATTAAAAATGAAAAATGCATCTGATTTATGGGGTATATCTGTCAAAGTCATAAATAATATTACACATTCTATAGCCCCTTACCTAGCTGATATTTTTAATTCATGTATAGATCAGGGAGTATTCCCTGATCTTATGAAATTCAGTAAAATCATACCTTTATTTAAGTCTGGAAATTGTAAAGATCCTAGCAACTATAGGCCAATATCTATATTACCAGCATTGAGTAAAATCTTTGAAAAAATAATGTTAGAACAATTGTTGACTCATTTTAACATTAATAAACTTTTACAGAGAGCGCAGTACGGTTTCACTAAAAACCGTTCCACGACTGATGCTGGGGCCACTATGCTAAAATATATATTTAATGCTTGGGAAAAGTCGCAGAATGCTCTTGGGGTTTTCTGCGATTTATCTAAAGAGTTTGATTGCGTTAATCATCAAACTTTGTTACGGAAATTAAATCATTACGGCATAAAAGATTCCGCACAAAAATTAGTGCAATCATATTTAACAGAAAGGACACAAATAAGAAAATAGGCGTTCCTCAGGGTTCAATTTTAGGTCCATTTCTTTTTTTAATTTACATTAATGATTTACCTTTCTTTGTAGAAAATTTTTGTGAAATTGTTTTGTTTGCAGATGACACCTCGCTAATTTTTAACGTTGACAGGTGTAAAACAAATTATGACGATATAAACAATGCACTTTCCAAGGTACTTCACTGGTTCTCTTCTAATAATCTTAAACTGAATGCGAGCAAAACTAAATGTGTGAAATTTACTTTGCCGAATGTAAAGCATGTTGAAATGGGGGATATAATTCTAAATGGTGAAAAACTAATTTTAGTTCATACAACCGTTTTCTTAGGCGTAACACTAAACCACAAACTTCAATGGAACCCTCACATTACAACACTAGCCGGTAAACTAAGTTCTGCTGCTTATGCAATTTATAAAATAAGACGGCTTACAGATGTCGACACTACTAGGACAATATACTTCAGCTACTTTCACAGCATTATGTCGTATGGCATTCTATTATGGGGCACGGCCGCAGACATTGAAACAGTTTTTATTCCTCAAAAACGAGCTATAAGAGCTATTTACCGCTTGGGATCTCGAACTTCTCTTAGGGATAAATTTAAAGAAATAGGTATAATGACTGTTGCCTCTCAATACATTTACAATTGTATATTGTTTGTGCGTCAGAACATAAATTTATATACGAGGCGCGATGATGTACATAATTTCAATACCAGAAATAAAGATAAAATCAAATTGCCACCATTGAGACTCCAAAAGGTTCTTGGTTCATTTGTGGGTCAAGGTATATGTTACTATAATAAAATACCAAAAGAAATAATTAATTTACCTTTTATTAAGTTTAAAGTGTGTATAAAAACATGTCTCCTTAAGAAAGGTACTATACTGTAAAAGATTTCATAAATGATAAGTCACCTTGGGCTTAACATAATAGACTGTCGTTTTACTTTGCTAATTTGGTTAAAAATTGTTTAATCGCCACTTCTAAATTTAAAAATAGTACCTAGTTATACTTAACTTTTGTTAATTAATAATATTAATGTGATGGAAGTTGACATCAACACATGTATTCAATTTTTGATGTCATTTTTCAATTGACGACACTGTGTGAAACAAAACAGGGAGAAAAAAATAGCCCTTGCTGAGTTCCTTGCCGGTTCTTCTCAGTACAAGGTCTCCCGCCGTAGATTTACGAACCGATGGCGTAGCGTTTACTTTCACAAGAGCTTGTAACAGCCTAGACTGAATAAATGAGTTTGAATTTGAATTGAATTTGAATTGAATTTAAACAAACACAATCACACTTTTAAATTTTACATATGTATACATATCTTACACAAACACTTTACTTCTTCACAATCTTAGTAGCACGGTATTGCTATAATTACTTTTCTTTAATAATCAATTCCTATGCTTGTATTGTATTTTATGTCTGTCATGTAAATCACACAACGTATATAATCCTATATTATAGACGTTTAATTTTAGTAAAATATTGTAAATTCACCAGCTACACAAAAACAAACACTTACACTAAACTAACACACACATACAATAAACAAACTTTTTGTTGCACTCATTGGTTTAACATTTCACCTACAAACCATCACCAATACACACACACAAATGGATTAAGTCTTAAGCTATTAGTTCGTTCAAATTTGGCACATAACTCAGCATCAAATTTATCTAAAACTAGTTATGGAAAAAATTACACTCACATTAGTTTTCTAAATCTTATAAACAGAAACTACTCTTTTAAATACACACATCAAAAGTGTCTAGGGATCAAGCATTTTTATGCGGATTTCTTGAGATTGAGATGTGGCTTTGTAATAAATTTATGATTTTATAAATTTATATGGATCCTTTTTGGTGCATTTCATAATTTGAATCAGGAACTGTGAATCAAATTCGAGTAAAAGATGAAAATCAGCTGTCAATATTTTCCCTATAAAAACATACAACGCATTGAAGACATTATTAGTGCTACTGTTTCCCTACTACTGATTAAAACCAACGTTATTATGGAGCGGCGACGTCATTTAAGCAGGGAAGAAATGCTCAGAGCCGTGGGAATGATAGAAGCTGGTTCCCGGCAACGTACTGTGGCTTTAGCTCTGAATACAAGTCAGAGTGTTATCAGTCGACTTTGGACACGATACCGAAGCACTGGTACCGTGGCTGAGCGCCATGGAGGACGGTATCGCTGCACCACACGGAGACAAGACCGATACATTCAAATCTTAACTCGAAGAGCTCCAACAATAACCGCCATGATGTTAGCCGTGAGGCTTCATCACTCTTCAGGGAACTTAATTAGCGACCAAACAGTCAGAAACCGCTTGCATGAAGTGAACCTTCATTCCCGAAGACCGCTACGGGTACCACCTATAGCAATGCACAATCGTAGGATTCGATATCAATGGGCTCTTGAACACAGAAATTGGGCAGAAGAACAATGGCGTTTCGTGTGCTTTTCTGATGAGTCTCGTTTTGGTATGAGACCGGATACAAGACGTATACGACACTGGAGAACCCCTGGACGCCAACAGCGATTAAAATCCTGCCAGGAAGTCCATCCTTATAGTGGTGGAACCATCATGGTATGGGCGGGTATTTGGATCGGCGGAAGAACTGAGTTGATTTGGATCAGAGGCAACCTCAACGCTCAAATTTATGCTGAGACGATTGTATCAGACGTCATCGTTCCTCTACAAGTGCAAATCGGTCCCTTATTTCAGTTAATGCATGATAATGCACGACCGCACACCGCAAGAGTTGTAAGACAGACTCTCGCCGCAGCTAACATCAATGTCCTGCCCTGGCCTGCTCAGTCGCCAGACTTGAACCCGATTGAGCATGCATGGGATATGCTACAGAGAAGAGCTCTGCCGAATATGGAGGGTATCCAGTCGCAAGAAGACCTTTTTTTGTTGTTGCAACGAACATGGGCGGCCATTCCACAGCGTGATTTGGATGAACTCATTTTGAGTATGCCAAACCGATGTTCTTGTGTTGTTAGTGTTCGCGGTAGAAATACGGATTATTAATTGTTTAAGTTACCCAATAAAA